CTCTAAATTCCTTATCATCCGATTTCGATGATCTAATTCCTTTCATTTTCTTATTTTATAATTATTATTTATTATTTATAAGTCAATATTTAACTTTGTGTCTTGAATTTGACCTGCAAAATCTAACAAAAAATAAAACGAACTCTAGATAATGCAGCAAAGTGTACAACATTTTTGGAAGCAATGACAGAATAGGTACTTGCATTAACTACAATAACGCAATAAAAGACAAATAGTAATGGTAAATAGTAGACAATGGCAAATTTGATTGTAGTACCAAATTTGGTGATTATATATCAGGTTATTATGATAAGCGTACAATGACAATTAAGATGAATTCTAGAACTACATTCTGGAAGGGATAATTAAAAGATAATCGAAGTCTATATTCTACTATTGGATGAAGATATCGCAACTGCATCACTTCAGAATGCACAAACATTAAAAGCAGAGACTCATAACATTTTTAATATAATTAAATTAATATAATTATTTTATAATATTAATATATTATATTTAATAAAATATAATATATTATTTTTTAATATAATTAATATAGTAGAATTTATCTATTTACATATTTATCTATTACGTATTATGTATTTATATTTTATTAATTTCATATATTATTGGATTATGATATTTGATCTTTTATGACATAAATGACTGTCCTACATGTATTAATTAATTTTAATCAATGTAATTATGAACTATTTAGTTCTAGAATTTTATATTTATTATAATTTGTATTGTATTGTATTGAAATGATTTCACGTACTTATTATCGGACTATTAATTTGAACTGTATATATAATTGAACGCAATGTGTTCAAGACAGACAATATGTTAAGACATTGAACAGATGACACAAAATTATTAAGATTAAGATTATGTCGTAAGAATAATGTTTTTGAGAAGATCTTTAGAAGTATATATTCGTTAGAAATATTTTGAATGTGAATATGGTCTTGGGATTTGAAATATTTTTCATTCATATCAATTTCAATGGCAATCGATATCATCCTACTTAAGAAAAATTATTATATTCACGAATCAATTTTCTATGAATAACGGATTTTACGAATAGCATAACCCTCATTTTAATTCTAAAATTTTTCCTTGATTGGGAATGATCCACGATATTATTGACCGCTTGTATACCCCACCAAAGATCTGCGATCTTGTGAAATGAGCATGGAAGGTTTTAAAGATAGAAGTGTAAAATGTTCTTGAAACTTTTTGATCTTGAAACTTTTTGAATCTTAAAATCCTTTTAAAATCAAAATTTTTTAAATTTTCGAATTTTACATTTTAGAATTTTCCAAACTCTTGTAACCTCGAATGAACAGAACTTGTGAATTTAGTAATAAATATAAACATTCATTAGCATATAAATTTTGCTTTTGATTATTTCAGAATAGAACTTTGTTAACAGTATTACATTAAACTTTGTAATTAATTTTATTACTATATCACAGCTCCAAAAACGGATTGGAAAATAATATAGATTTTGTATTCTATTTATATTTCTTATTCTATTTATATTTCTATTTCTTTATTTCTAATAATCTATCATTCCGTTAGATATACAAAACATGAAAGATTGCTAAAATTTTAAGAATGGATTTCATTCTCTCAAAAAAATTTAACCATAGCAAAAAATTTTAAAATATTTAACGGATTTTAATATTTTATTTAAAATTCGGATTTCAAATTGATTTAATTTTTTAAATAAATAATTATTATATTAAATTATTTTATTTATTATTATATTTATTAAATTATTTTTTAATAAATTAATTATTTTATTTTTATAATACTTTATATTATTTTTATGTACATATATTTATAATTTTATATTACTTTTATTATTCATAATATTTCATCAATTTTGAAATTTTTAAAAAATAAGTTATATTATTATAACAAAAATTTTTCAATATTCTTATTGTTGATTAATAAAAGATATTTTAAAAATTAAAATTTTATTTTTCAAGAATACTGAAATATAATTTATAAATATTAATT